AAACAAAATTCCCAAACAACAACAAAAACACCCCACCTCCCCAAAATAAAAGACAGGGGATGGGGAAATCTCAATAATATAGCTCTGAAACCCACTTTGAGAGAGGAGTTCTGTGCCCAGTTTTCCAGAAGAGGGCATCGTACACATGGAACAGAGCAGCTTAAGGGGTGTGTTCAGCCAGTATATGGAGGTTAGAGGACATTCTTCAGGAATTAGCTCTTGCCTTCTACCTTGTTTTGAGGCAGGGTCTGTCTTGTTTCTGTTGCTTTGCTGTGTACCCCATGGTTAGCTGGTGTCTGAGATTTTTGGACGATTCCCTTGTCTATTTCCCAAGTCCCATTTTTTTCCCCCAGAGGAACTCTGGTATTACATATGTAGGCCACTGCAACCAGAATTTTTGTTGGTAACTCAGGCTTTCACAGCAAGTATGTTTACAGAGACGTTTCAGGGACCCTGCACCTCTTCTCATCAATGACAGTGTTATATGTAAGTTCCTTCATTCTCTCCAGTTCTAGGGATCAGATGCTGGAAGGGCCTCATACATGCTAAGCAACTGCTCTACCATTGATTTACACACTAAGGCCAGTGAAGTTTGAATGTTAAATATCTCCCAAAGATATACATAAGTATTTTTAATATAAGGACTGAAAGCTTAGTTCCCAGCCTATGACACGTAGGAAATGGAGGAACCTTTACTAGTTAGGGCTTAGTGTGTAGCAAGTCTTTCTCTGTCCCACCAGCCAGCTCCCAAGTAAATGACACAAGAGATTTCTTACTAATTAATTACAAAAGCTCTGCCTATAGCTTAGGCATGTTTCTAACTAGTTCTTATTACTTAAATTAAGCCATTTCTATTAATTTACATCGTACCATGTGGCACATGGCTGTTACTTCTGCATGTCCTGCTTCCTCTGTATCTGGCGGGTGACTCCCCCTTCTTCCCAGCATCCTCTGTGCCTAGAAATCCTGCCTAGCTATTGGCAATTCAGCTTTAATTAAACCAGTCTGATGACGTATATTTACAGTGTAATCATACATCTCAGAACACTAGTGGAAGTAATTTGGGTCCCTGGGAGTATGTCTTCAAAGGGAATACTAGAGCCCCAATCTCTCGTTCCTCTCTTTTTCAGCTGCTATGAAGTGAATAGGTCTATATGTTGGACTCTTTCCATGGTAACGTTGTGCCAGCATGAACCAAAATAACAGTGACAAGTGATGAGCTTATTTAAGCCTTTCCTTCTTTTAAGTTGATTAACATATTTTCTGTTTTGTTTTGTTTTTTGTTTTGGTCATGGACAGAAAGTTAAGTGCCAACAAGATGGCTCAGCAGATAACGTGAGTTTGATCCTTGCATAGTAAGAAATGATTCCTCAAATTGTCCTCTGACCTCTATATACATGCCATGGCATGTGTCACCATACACACATATACACAGCAAATTATTTTTAAAATTAAAAATGTAAATATACATTTCAGACAAGACAGCTCTCTGTGAAAGTCTTAACTCCTGCATAACATGATTTTTCAGTTTCTATTATATTCTTTATATTATACACAGTAATATGAATTGATGGGGTTCACTATGGTATCTTTATATATGTGCATTGTCTACAGAGAATATTCTCACACCCTTTTAACCTCTCACCCTTACAAAGTATTAGTGATTATTTGTATGCATGTGTTTGTGTGTGGAGTATGTGCCCTTGAGTGAAGTGCCTTCAGTGACTATCAGGTCCCACATAGCTGAAGTTACAAGCAGCTGAGAGTTACATTTAAGTGGGTGCTGGGAATCAAACTTGTGTCCTAAGATTAATGCACACCTTAGCTGACAAGCCATCTCTCCAGCACCACTGCCTGCACTTTTAAAGTTACCACATAGGAGAGCACATGCAATGCTTGCCTTTCTGTGACTGGCTTGCTTTATTTAACACGATGCCATCCAGTTCTATTAATCTTCCTGCAAACAACAGGACTTCATTCTTATAATGCTTCGTTGTGTATGTCCTCCTTAGGATTACCATTGCTGTGATTAAACACCCTGACCAAAGCAATTTGGGTAGGAAAGGGTTCATAAGCTTACACTTCTGCAGAAGGAAGTAAGGACAGAAAGTCAAACAAGACAGGAGCTTGGAGGCAGGAGCTGATGCAGAGGCTATGAAGGAGTGCTGCTTACTGGCTTGCTCCTTATGGCTCTGCTCAGCCTGCTTTCTTAGAGAACCCAAGTCACAGGATGGCACCACTCCCAATGCCTGGGCCCTCCCACAGCAATCATTACTTAAGAAAATGTCCTACAAGCCGGGTGGTGGTGGCACACGCCTTTAATCCCAGCACTCAGGAGGCAGAGGCAGGCGGGTCTCTGTGAGTTCGAGATCAGCCTGGTCTACAAGAGCTAGTTCCAGGACAGGCTCTAAAACCACAGAGAAATCCTGTCTCAAAAAACCAAAAAAAAAAAAAAAAAAAAAAAAAACCCAAAAGAAAAGAAAATGTCCTACAGGCTTACCTACTACTTGATCTTGATCTTTTGGAGGCATTTTCCAACTGAGGTTCCCCCCTTTCAGACAACTTTAGCTTGTGTCAAACTGGCATAAAATTAGCCAGCATAGTATGTACATGTATGTCTTTTCTTTGCCCATTTATCTTTTGGCAGGCACTTAGGCTGATTCACTAAGTAATTGCAAGTAGTGTTGCCAAATATTTTAATAACTGATGGAATAGTAAATCATTGCTTTCTAAAACCACCATCTCAGAACTGAATTCATGTGTAATTTGTAGGCTGATTTATTGTAGTTTTCCTTTTCTCTGTGTTGAGTTAGAATAAAATTTTGTGCAAATTAGATTCCCTGACTTTTCTGATATTTATAGATTAGCTATAATTGTCATCAACTAGTCTGGTATAACAAACTCATCCTGCTTTTTGTTTTGTTTTTGAGAGGAGACAAGGTCTCAAGTGATTCTTACTGGCCTAGACCTCTCTATGTAAACCAAGCTGGCCTTCAACTCATAGAAATCTCCCACTCTGCTCCCCACCATGTCCAGTCTCTCTTTATTAGTAGGAATTTTACTCCAAAAAAAGAGGACATAACTTAGAAAGTTAAATGTAGTGTCTTTTACAAACTTGTTAAAGAAAAAAAAACAGCTTTCAATAATCTCCATATTTTCCCCTCAACAATTTTTTATTCCCTTCAGGGTGAATGTAGACTTATGAAAAGGAAAAACTCCTCAGTGGCAGGGGCTCCAAGGAAGGAACATTTTTTTTTTCAAACATATTTTTGAGGTGCTACCTTTTTTATTAAAAAAAAAAACTTAATTTTTTAAAAAGCTTCTCTTTTCCACCTCTGTTATGAGAGATTTAATCTAGGGTCTTATGTGTGACAGGCAATGTTCCACCACTGAATTACATCATCTGGTCTCAGTTTACTCTTTGAGACAAGGTCTCATGAAATGCACAGGATGGCTTTGAGCTAGCTTGGATGGTCGGCCTTCCACCATGCTTAGGTCAGCATTCTTTAAAAATGGTATTATTATTATTACTCTGTGTATGCATGCAAGCGTGCATATACATGCCAGGGTGGAGGTGCGGTCAGTTCTCTTCTGCCGCCTTTCGTGGGTCCTGGGGATCTAACTCAGATTGGAAGGTTGGCATGGCAAGGTGCAACTATCTTTACCCATCAAGCCGTATCACTGGCTGGAGCATTTTGTTTTCTTTCAAAGATAAAAAATTCTGAGGCGATCTCCCACCATATGACAAATTCAGGCACTGTGATCTTGTGTTTCCCAGGCTCTAGAACTGTGAGAAATTTTTCCGTGTTGTTAGAAATTAAGCTCTGTTTTGAAGACACACTCATTTGAAGGCATGGAAAGTCTTTATGCTTATGATGTCCATCGGAAAAGATGCCTGGAATTCAGCTCTTCCTGCCTCAGGCTAACTTAGGAATGTCGCCATCACAAATGTGCTTTACTGTTGTTCTTGCTAAAATAAAACCGGATGAAATATTTACCATAAAAACAAAAGAGAGCTATTGAGTTGGGTAAAACTGGTCATGAGAACTTTGAGGAAACAGTATTGCAAAGCACTGACTTCAATACGTTGCTCGGTGGTTCCCGTCATTGGAGAGTAAAAGCCAGCGAGCGTCACTGGCACTAAATGCGAACGGTGTCCGGATGCTCTGATCTTTTGGGGAGCCTTCGGTCTGAGGCATGTGAGTTGTGGACATGCTCGTACATCCATGTATATATCGGAAAGATAGGCTTTTGGCTGCTGAAACTGCGCTCAGCAACGTTCTCGGAGGGTCGGGGAGGAAAGAAAGCTGCTCACTCTCGCACTTTTGAGCCGGCGAAGGGTCAAACCTACAAAGCAAGGCTGCCCGCTGATTGCCAAGAGCCGCTGCAGGATTTGCAATGATTTCTGCAGGCCATCGCTGGCTCAGCGGCACGGGCGGTTCTAACAGACCTTTAAGCCTAATAGGGACTTTGACAGAGCCAGGCCTGAAGACAGTGAAAAGCCTCTATCGAAGTTACTAGAACAGGGTCAAAAACAATTCCTAAGCTTATTAGCAGACAAAGCCGGGATCTGGGAATCAAGCCTGCGAGTCTTCATAACAGGTAGGGCAGTCTTCTCTCCTCTCCTTGAACCGTTTACTAGGTAACGGGCCATTTCTACCTTAAAACCAAGCGGCTCTGCAATTCAACCTCTCCGGACGTGGAGCTAGTGGCGCTTTCGCTGCGTATTTCCGCTTCTGGTCATGTGGCTGGGGGTACGGCGGCCGCTCCTTCCCACTGCAACCCCTGCTTAGTCCGCAGACCGACACGTCACTCCTCGGTTCTCAACCAAACTGCTCAGAGCACGCTCTTTCCGCGCTGTCCGCTCCCCTGCGCCGGCCTATCACAGCTCGGCGGGCCCTTATAGTCACGCCTCTAAATTGGCTGAGTGATAGCTAGCTTGACCACTCAGAGAATGGAAGCCCGGCTTGGTCTACGCCTTCGGAATGACAGACAGGATGGTCATCCTATCGCTCCCTCTGAAGTAGTCATCGGCCTGGCCCTGCCAATGCGGAGCGAGCAGGGAGGCGGGCCTTGCCTGCTGTCAGGGTTGGGTGCGCCACTGAACGGATGGCAGGGGGAGCCGAGTGGATTCCTGAAGAGCATCCGCCGGGTGAGGAGGGCCTAGGGCAGTGCTGGAAGATTAGCGGCAGGCGCAGTACAGGGTGATGGCGGGCCCGGACGAGGCGCTGCAGGCCGGCCTGTAATGGTGGGGAGCAGAGCCTGTCCGCGGCCTTGCAGAGGAGGGGGCGTGTAGGGTGGTGTGGGGAGGGACCTCGGGGCACCGGAGCACAGGACCTTCGGAGGAGGGGTCTCGGCAGGGCGCTGCGCTCCGGCAGCGTGGGCGTGGGCCATGAAATCTAAGGGGCTGGCTTGGAGGGAGCGTGCTGAGATGTTGGGGTCGGGGTCTGGGGGGTCAGCTCGGTCAGAGGGTGCAGGAGGCCGTGGAAACGCGTGTAGGAAAACCGGGCCGCCGAGGCTGCAGCCCTGGAACCCAGAGCTGGGGTGGGTCAGGATGTCAAGGCTTGCATGCACGGCTGCGAAGCAGAGAGATGCTGGGCGGATAAGAAAAGCGTTTTTCCCCTTTCTGTCGGCGTGTGGAAATTACCAGAGAACAGGATGAAAACTCTCAGTACTCGACTTTGAATGGCTAGCTGCCTTTACTAGGTCTTTAAGTCCAGGTTTTAGCGCTCTCGCTTCCTCTGCTGACTTGGCAGGTGTGTTGATCCTTGTCAGCTCCGAGGTGTTTTGTTTCCGTTTCAGCTATCTTGGGAGAACAGCTACAAGCCCAAGAGATGGGACTAGAGTTGTTCACTCCCCGGAGATAGTTAAGGGAAAGCCTTCCCTTTGGAATTATGATTAAACACACTAGCCCAAACTGCTCTTCTGGGACAGTTAATTAAAGAAAAGATGCTTGACTTCGCATTGTGATTCTTCGTATTTTCCAGATAGTCCGGTGTTACCCTTTCCTAACTTTTTTTTTCTCCAGTAAAAAAGGAACAAGTAATGCAGTTTTCCTACCCCCCCCTCCACCACAGTTCTCAACAGTGCTAAAGATATTCTCTGTTGTTGCATTCTTTGTCCCTTAGTCCTTAACACAACTATTGTCTATACCTAAGTACCGTCCTGAACTGCCTTTAGATTGTTTCCTTTACTACCGCTTTGACATTTTATTCTGGTTCAGAAGAAAAAAAAATTATATTTTCCCTCTAGATGATTACCTGGTGCTCCGAGCTGTCCTTGAGTTGTTTAAATCATCAGGGTCGTCACAGAGAGGCCTTGAAACACGGTTGTCAGACAGGGGAGCAGATCTGAGCAATTGAGTGTGCATCAGGAAGATGGAAAGACAGTGCACTGCGGATGCTTCTTCTTGAGTGCACGGCTTGCACTTGTATTCGTGCTCAGCCTGTACTTTAGTTGGCGAGGAAGCATCCACACTGGGATTTGGAACAGAAAAAAGCTTGGAGGCATTTGTAGCCAGTCAGTTGAGGCTTGGACTTTAAGGCCAGAAATCATGTCCAATCAGGGATGACTTCTAGTTTTTCTACTTTCACTTCTGTAGGTCGCTTTGGTCTCCACCTTCCCTGCTTCCCTCAGCTCCAGTCCCACCCCTTACTCTTTTAGTGACAGGTTCTCATTCTAATCCAGACTGACCTAGAACTTAACTTTGTATCCAGGCTGAACTCAATTGCACAGCTATCCTCAGCGTCACAGTGTTGGGAGTATGGACACAAGCTAATCATACCTGACTTGTGGTGTGCCCCCGCCCCCATCACTCATTTTCACGAATGCTTTCTTTTTTCTTTAAAAAAAAAAAACTTTTTTGTTTGGCTTTTCCATCTTTTTATTCCTTTCATGCTTCTGCCCCCCTTTTCCCTTTTTCTGCTTGATTCTCATGTCATATTTTTGGCATTGTGCTGTGTACTTTGTAGCTGTGGAAGTAGAAACAGGATTGTGGGTAGAATTCTTTCTTTTTCTTTTTTTTACAGAACATGGAAACCCGGGGCATTTTTGCCTTTTAGGCAAATGCCATGTTGTTGAATTACATGGGAAACCCTTTTAAAGATTTATGGTTAGTCTGGTCTGGAGCTTTTGATCCTTCTGCCTCAGTCTCTTGAGTAGGGATTGAGTCTGGGCTTATAGACATATTGAGTAGTATGATTACTCATTTTTAGTCATTTTTGGCAGGGGAGACAGCATCACTAGGTTACCAGGTAACCCTGACTGGCCTAGAACTTGGGTGTGTAGATCATACTAGCCTGCCTCTGCCTCCTGAGTGCTGGGATTAAAGACATGTGCCACCAAGCCTGCTCCTACCTATTTAGTCTTGACACATAAACCTAATAGTATTTGCTTTCTTGCTAGTACATCAATCTTTAGTCAAAGCTTGGGTAGTAGTATTAGCTCTAATTTCTCTGGTGTTTTTGGAGCTCATCTGTCCTTTATGGTTCTTTCCCACCATAAAAGATTAAAGTAAACTTAAGTAAATACAGGGTACTTAATATCTTTGGTCTTGACTTTTCTCATTTTAGCTATTTGAATATCATCAGTTACCACCCGTTGATGTCAAGATGACTAAGCTTGGATTTTTGCGGTTGTCCTATGAGAAGCAGGACACACTTCTGAAGCTTCTCATCCTGTCGATGGCTGCTGTGCTGTGTGAGTCTGTGTGTGCTTCTCCTTAGAGTTGGAATAATGAAAAAAATTAAAAATGGATTTTATAAACATGACTATTCTTTTAGCAGATTGCTGTTCTTTTTACCATTTCTTGTTGGTAGAATTTGATGAAAACAAAATAACTCAAGAAATATAAAACTTAGGTCTATTGATCATAGGAACAGCAGGAAGCAAGCTCTTTAGGTTTTAGTATTCTCACTGGCTGAAAGAAAGTGGGAGCTGTTGGGTGTTGAATTTTGTAAAAGAATTATCTTCAACTCTGTGCCTGTGATGGTTAATATCGCCAACTTGACAGGATCTAGAATCCGCTAGGAGACAGCCCAGGGCAATGCGGTCAGGCATTATATGGGTTAGGGTTTATTGGGGTTGGAAGGATGACACCCTTCTGTAGACAGGGGTCTCGAACTGAATTAAAAGGAGAACGTGGGAAGAACACTAAGGCCTCTTCCTGATTGAATGCAGTAGGATGTGTTGCACTGTGCTCTGCCCCCCTCTCTGCTCTTAGTGCTCTCACCCTTGAACTGCAGCCAAAGGAAACCTATTCTCCCTTCCACTGTTTTTTCAGGGTCTGTATCACAGCAGCCGGAAAAGGAACTTTGAGGCGGAGTTTGCTCTCTACCCAGATGGGCCTCAACTCCCTCAGCTTCCTGAGGGCTGCCATCTAAGCTCCTTAGTAGTTCTGAAAGCCTTTTGAGGATTGAGTTTTTAAGCCTTTCCCAGCTCTTCATGAGTAATAAGTTGTCCTTTCTTGACATATCTCTTTTTTTGGTCCAAGATTAAAGTAAGGGGAGTGTGTATGCAAAAGGGGTCAGTATATGTAAAAAATGGCCAATTTTGGTATTAGGTGTATGTGATTGTACGGGCTTTGTGTAATACAACACATAGTTAAATGTATCCCATTTAAGTGAAAAAAATGTAGATAGTTTCGTCAGACTTGTTCCTTGTAGGTGGGGAGAAATGGATGGAGACTTCATTTAAGAACTATTCTGCCCTCTCTGTGACTCCAGTGCTAGATAATTTTAGCTTCTCCACAGTGCCACTGTTTATTTTCTGTTGTTCTTTAATGGGATGTTACCAACTAAAATATTCATTCACTGGATTTTGCAGCATTTTCTACTCGTCTCTTTGCTGTCCTGAGATTTGAAAGCGTTATTCATGAGTTTGATCCGTGAGTACCTTTGCTCTGATATGTCCTTCAGGAGGTGTTGAAATTTGTGGGTTTTATATGTGTTTAAATTCTAATCAGTTATCAGTAATGAAGGTGTATTTTCAGTACATTTAAAGGAAGACTCCAAGTTTTCCAAGTGAGTCTTGTCAGCTCAAAAAATGCAATAGACTGTTGTTATGCCTGCTTGCTTGACTGACTAGGCTAAGAGAAACCTGGCTTTCCATTTTGATCAGGAGCAGGAACGTGCATTAAGGGAAAGGGTTCTGGAATACATTAAAGACTATAAAGAATATCACAAGCTGGTGATTGAGTTTTTTGTACTACCCGGTCCCGCATTGTCGAGTAAGAAACGCACAGAGTTCTACACCAATTATAAACTGGTTGGCCTATTAGCTCAGACTTCTTAACTCTTTCTTACATCGTACATTAACCCATTATTCTTGTCTGTGCTAGCCTCTTGGCTCGGTACCTTATATCAGCCAGGACCTCATCTTGCCTCCTCTGTGGCTGGGTGACAACTGCAGACTGAATCTTTCCTCTTCCCAGAATTCTCCTGGTCTTGTCTCTCCACCTGTACTTTCTGCCTGGCTACTGGCCAATCAGCTTTTTATTAAAATACAATTGACAGGGTATAGACCATTGTCCCACAGCAACAAGCCATGAGCTTGAGGTCATAATTTCTTTTTCTACTTATTTATATAGTAGAAATTGGGCTTATTGTTAAATCAAAGGCGTTAAAAATATTAAAGCTATGAAAACTGGGTATTGTGGCAAATGCCTATAATCTTGGACTGTATAGTGTGCTTCTACCTAAAAGGTATTGGAAAAATCAAAATAAATTAAGAATAAAAAACAAATCTGGTCATGGTGACATATTTCTTTAATTCCAGCAGATGGATTTCTGTGAGTTCAAGACCAGCCTGATTTATGTAATGGGTTCTAGGCTAGCTAAGCCTACAAGATTATATAGTGAGTGAGATCCTATCTCAAAAAACAAAAACAAACAAACCAACCAAACCAAAAACACCAAACCAAACAAAAAACAACATGGGGCTGGAGAGATGGCTCTATGGTTAAGCGTGCATACTGCTTTTGCAGAGGATCCAAGTTTACTGCCCAGCCCCCATGTCAGATGGCTCACTACCACTTGGAACCCCAGTTTCAGGGCACCTGAGGCCTCTGACATCCTCAGTCACGTACATAAACACGTAATAAAAAGTCTAGTATTAGATTGAAACCCTCAGTAGTACTAGTACCATTAGCTGGGTGCGCTGGTGCATGCCCATAACCTCAGTACTCTAGGAGCCAAGAGGCAAGAGGATTGTGGCAAGTTGTAAGAGCTCTGGGCACGTAGTAAGTACTAGGCCATCTATGACTACGTAGGAAGACTGTTTCAATAAACCCTGAAATGGGGCATTGATGTGGCCCAGTGGGTAAAGGCACGCTGTTAGGATTGAGTTAGACCCCCCCCCCCCAGAACTCACACTGGACAGGAAGAGTTAATTCTCTTCTCCCTCCACACATATGGTGAGACACCACCTCCCCCATTCCCCTAAAGAAATAAAACTTGTTTTTGGTTTTTATTTATTAATAATTATTTATTTATTATGTATACAATATTCTGTTTGTTTGTATGCCTGCAGGCCAGAAGAGGGCACCAGACCTCATTCCAGATGGTTGTGAGCCACCATGTGGTTGCTGAGAATTGAACTCAGGACCTTTGGAAGAGCAGGCAGTGCTCTTAACCACTGAGCCATCTCTCCAGCCCCTTGTTTTTGGTTTTTAAACCTAACATTTTCTAAGTGCCTTTCTTTTTATCTTTTGAGATACAGGTACAGTTTTTTTTTTTTTTTTTTTTTTTGGTTAAATTTTTTTGTTTTTGTTTTTGTTTTCTGTTTAAGAGAAGACTGGGACTGTGCCCAAAGTTACACATTTACTAGGTGGGAACCTAGATTTGAATGTGGATTTGTCTGATTTCACAGACTGTGTCGTTGCCAGTGTTGACTAAAGTTGAGGCTTATGAAAAAATGTAGAAATCAGAGTCATAGATTCTTGAGTTACTGAATTCTTTTTTTTTTTTTTTTTCCAAGACAGGGTTTCTCTGTGGCTATGGAGCCTGTCCTGGAACTACCTCTTGTAGACCAGGCTGATCTCGAACTCACAGAGATCCGCCTGCCTCTGCCTCCCAAGTGCTGGTATTAAAGGTGTGCATCACTTTCGCCCAGCTGAGTTACTGAACTCTTAAAAACAGTGCATTCATATTTGGTAACACTGCTTTAAAAGTTCAGGCCTGTACTTGGTTTACAGACTTGTCATTTTGTTTTGTGTAGCTATTTTAAAGAATTTGGAGGTATTATATGTTTTTTGGGGGGAGCCCTGAAACCACTTTCCATTTTTTTTCCCATAAATGAGAAGATTTACTCTGCTAGTTAGCTTTGAATGTCAACTTCACTCTAGAATCACCTGAGAAAAGAGGCTTTTGTTGTTGTGTGTGTGTTTTTGAGACAGGGTCTTTCTTTGTACCCTGTCTGTCCTGGAGCTCTGTATGTAGGCCAGGCTAGCCTTGAAACTCAGAGATCTGCTTGCCTCCTGCTTCCTAAGCACTGGAACTAAAAAGTGTGTGCCACCATACCAGGCCTGGGGAGAGAGTCTCGGTGAACTGTCTAGGTCAGGTTGGCTTGTGGGCGTATTTGTGGGGATTGTCTGATTGTTAAGGAGGAAGACTCAGCCCCTTTGTAAGAGGAGTCATTCCTTAGGCAAGCGTCCTGAACAGTTTAAGAGGAAGATAGCTAAGAGCAAGCAGGCAGGCAGGCAGGCAGGTTGGCTGGCAGGCGGGCTGGCCTGTATGAATTCATTTATTTCTCTGCTGACTATGAATGTGACCAGCTGTTTCAACTTCTCTGCTAGCATGGACTGTAACCTAGAATTGTAAGACAAATACTTGCCTTTTCCTTATGTTATTTTTGTGTTAATCTAAGTACATTACTTTTTTTTTGTTTTGCAATAAAAAAATTAAAATATAATTAAGTCATTTCTTTACTTCTTCCTTCCTCAAACCTCTTGTTTTTTTTTTTTTTGTCATAGTGCTATTTTATCATAGCAACAGAAATGAAAGCACAACCTTAGTATTTTTCTTTCTTTTTTTAAATTTTTTATTTATTTTTTTGAGAGAGGTTTTTGTGTAGTACAGGATAGCTTCTAATCTGCTCTGTAGCTGGCCGATGATGACTTTGTATTCCTGATACTTTTGCCTCCATCTCCCAAGTGCTGGAGTTACAGTATATGCCACCATGCCCACAACCTTCTTTTGTTTCTTGATCAAACAGCTTCATTCTTAGACCCTCCAGATAGGCGAATATTGAGGTGAGCTAATCAGGGAAAACAAAGGGTCTGTCTCTAATAGAACTGGAAGACAGTGTACAAATGATTTGACTATTCTTTTTCTAAGGAAGAATCATCCCCAGGGCTTGACCCTAATCCACTAATTTAGACTTCCTCTTTCTTAGTCTGCCTCCTACTGGTAGGTAGTGGACATGATTACGATACATGCTGACTGCCTTCTAGAACCCTCATCTTTTCTGTATCTCTGACAATTACCAAAATAACACTTCTGTGTGAGGAACAGAAGACAGAGCTTTATGCCATCTGCTGCTTCTCTTACCTCAGCTACCAAAACTTGACCAAGGAGAAAAATAGGGCTAGGGAGGTGGGCTGGGAAGTCATCATCCATAGTTGGAGACTCCATTTATTTATTTGGTTTTGCTCCACATCCTCTTCTTTAGGGAAATGCTTACACAGCCTGGTTCTAAAAAACTGTTTTTCCATGTATAGTTCTTAACATTTCTTTTCTTTTTTTTTTTTTTTTTTTTTCAAGACAGGGTTTCTCTGTGGTTTTGGAGCCTGTCCTGGAACTAGCTCTTGTAGACCAGGCTGGCCTCGAACTCACAGAGACCCGCCTGCCTCTGCCTCCCCAGTGCTGGGATTAAAGGTGTGCGCCACCACCGCCCGGCTTCTTAACATTTCTTGTCTAGTACTTTGTAATGTAATGTATGTTTGCTTCAGTGTATGTGGTGTTCAGACATTTGAAATAACATGAGTGAATCTTGTTAGAAGTTTAAACACTCATTAGGAAGTTCTTGTTATCATGTGGATTAAATTTTTTCTCATCTTACATATGCTATTATACCAATATCTTTATAGATGTTCATTACTTTTTTATATTTATATTTTTACTTATTATGTATACAATATTCTGTTTGTGTGTATGCCTGCAGGCCAGAAGAGGGCACCAGACCCCATTACAGATGGGTGTGAGCCACCATGTGGTTGCTGGGAATTGAACTCAGGACCTTTGGAAGAGCAGACAATGCTTTTAACTTCTGAGCCATCTCTCCAGCCCCTAGATGTTCATGTGCTCTTGTGTGTGGTAGAGAAACAAAATGTATTCTCAACACTTGAAAAGGGCCAAATCTCATGCGTTAGAGGTTTTGTCTTCTGGGTGCTTGAATTTTTTTGCTGACTTTATTATCTACCACAAGCTAGCCTGCTGAAGTAACCTGTTTGAATGCTTTGTATGGACATTAGACTTCAAGTTCATTTTCTATAGAAAAAGAAGCACTGCTTTAATTGATACAAGTGTAGAACAGAAATATTAGCTAGTATAAATGATTTTCATAACATAATTTTTGGTAATAAAATTTATTCACGCAATGCTGTGTTCTTTAGTAGCATAATCTGAAAAATAAGCTCTTTGTAAGTAAAACACATTTGAGCACAGAGATTCCGGGGACATGGTGCTTGCTTTCTTGTTCTAGGTACTTTAATTATCGGACTACCCGGTTTCTGGCTGAGGAAGGGTTTTATAAATTTCATAACTGGTTTGATGACCGGGCCTGGTACCCCTTGGGTCGAATCATTGGAGGAACAATTTATCCAGGTGAGGGGGACAGAATTTGTTGTTTGTAAGGACAATGTTGTGTTTATATGCTGTGAGACAGCTTTGTTTCTGCAGGCTTCATTTCAGAATACTTGTAATTTCATTCTGATTATAGATTCCCAAAGTGGATCTTATGGAGAACATGTGTGCGATAGTGGAGATGTGGGGAGGGGAGGATGTCTTATACATTCTAAATAGAATAGATGTAGAAACTTAGTATAGTTACTATGATAGTATTTCTGGCAGTTTGTCAAAACCTGTGCTGTTACTTTAGTGAAATTTGGATTGACCCTTTTCTTATTTTCTTACCAGAACAACCTAATGGGGTTACTTTTTCCTGTTTCAGGCTTAATGATCACCTCTGCTGCAATCTACCACGTACTCCATTTTTTCCATATCACCATTGACATTCGGAACGTCTGTGTTTTCTTGGCCCCTCTCTTCTCCTCCTTCACCACCATCGTTACATACCACCTTACCAAAGAGCTCAAGGTAAAGGATTTGAGTGACAGGAAGCTTGGGAGTGAATGTTGTTGAGCCTGTAGTAGATGCTGGAGGCTTGGAGGAATCTAGAGTCTTAGAGGGTCAGGGAGTGTTGTGACACTTACAGGGAAGATGTACAAACATCTACTCACCCCAGATAGGGAACCAAAGACCAAGGTAAGGATACCTCCAAAATCTCACAAAAACTGGAATGTCAGAGCTTACTGTAGGGCTTGCAAGCAGCTTGACAGATTGGATAATGTGTGTCTTCCAAGCAGCTTTGGTTTGTTTGGGCCTCTTACATGCAGCTTGGCATGTCTGAGACTCTTCTAGGCTGCTCTACTTGTCTCTGAGCAGTTCTTACTGTTTGTATAAAACGGGGAGCCAGGGGCTAGTGAATCTGGTTTGTTTTAGGAACTTCCTGAAGCTTTTGAGTTGTTTACTTTCTGCAGGTTGGAATACTTCCTTTAAAACAGGTTCTGAACCTGTTGGTTGTGACCTTTTGGCAAACCTCTGTCTCTAAAAATATCTACAATATGATTTATAACAGTAGTGAAATTACAGTTATGAAGTAGCAATGAAAATAATTTTATGGTTGGTCACCACATCGTGAGGAACTGTACTAAAGAGTCGCACTAGAAAGGTTGAGAAACCACCTCTTTAGAATATCTTTAGTCTTAAGGAGCATCCCATTAGGGTGACTTGTTAGATTTTGAAGGAAATTGGAAACTCCTACATAGTGGGGAGCTAGAGGCCAAAGACATTTGTTGAACCGAATTAGTGGAGAGTATGCGCTTTATTATCATTTGCAGCTGTTTGCCCTTTTAAGGTTTTCAGGTTTCTTGTTGACTTTGATTCTTTGCACTCTATTCTTACTCTGTGGCTGTAGTGTTAGGGAGGTACCTGAGAGGTGATAAACTAGTAGGAAGGCTTGAGAAGCCAGGTGCAGCTGGGAAGACTGAAAGGTTGGCTGTTAACCTCTCAACTTTACAGACCTCCTCAATCTGGGTAGATTGTCACTTTTTTTTTTTGGTTTTTCGATACAGGGTTTCTCTGTGGTTTTAGAGCCTGTCCTGGAACTAGCTCTTGTAGACCAGGCTGGTTTTGAACTCCCAGAGATCTGCCTGCCTCTGCCTCCCTAGTGCTGGGATTAAGGGCGTGTGCCACCACCGCCCGGCAGATTGTCACTTTTTTGTTGCGTTTTTGAGATAGGATTTTCCTCTGGAGCCCAGGCTGGCCTCAGAATTTTGTCTTCCTGTCTTCGCTTTCTAAGTGCTGGGATTACATGTGTTTGCTGTCATGCCCAGTTCTTTGTTTTCTTTTAAAGTCAAATAATGTTAAACTTTGGTTGTAGAAGTGGTGGGTTTTTTTTCTTTCTTTTTTTTTTTTTTAAAATATTTTTATGGTTTATTTAACTTTATTTTATGTGCATTGGTGTGAAGGTGTCAGATCCTGGATCTTCTGACAGTTATGAGCTGCCATGTGGGTGCTGGGAATTGAACCCCGGGTCCTCTGGAAGAGCAGTCAGTGCTCTTAACCACTGAGCCATCTCTCCAGCCCTCCCCCCCTTTTTTTGTGATGTGCAGTCACTGTTAGAGGAGGGGGCTAATAAGTTTGATAGCTAAATGGTCCATTCTGATGCAAATACTGGCTTTTATTTATTTTGTTTTTAGACAGAGTCTTACTGTATAGTCCTGGCTGATCTCAAACTCACACAGATTTATCTGCTTCTGCCTCTGGAGTGCTGAGATTAAAGGTGTGTGCCTCCATATCCAGCAGGCTCTGGTTTTGACAGCTCATGTAATTGTTATTATTTTCATTATTATTATTTTGGGAGGACAGGCTGTTATGTTGTCTAAGCTGATCTTAACTCACTGTGTAGCCAAGGATGATCTTGTGTGTCTGATCTTCTTATTTAATCCCACTGTCTCCCATTATAGGCATGTTTGGTTTATGTGGTGCTAGGGATCAAACTAGGGCTTCAAGCTTGCTCGGCATGTGAGTATCCTGTCAGCTGAGCTTTATCCCTAATTATTCTCCTATTACCCGTTTTTTGTTTTTTCCCTTAGAAAGGATCATGTTGTGTTACCTAGATTGGTCTTGGGTTTTTAACCCTCTTGCCTCAATCTGCTGAGATGATAGGTCCTTTCCATTACTCTGTCTCAGCATATTTGTACTCAGTATTAGATTTGGTATTCTCATATGGAGTTGACTAAAGTTTGTCTTTGTTGTGCTATGTGCATTTCCAGTATCCTATATCGACCTTGGAAATTTTTTTTTTTTAAATGTACCTGGTTTAAGTTACTCTTTCTTTTTTTTTTTTTTTAAGATTTATTTATTATGTGTACAGTATTCTCAGTGTTCTGTCTGCATGTATGCCTGCAGGCCAGAAGAGGGCACCAGATCTCATTACAGATGGTTATTAGTCACCATGCGATTGCTGGGAATTGAACTCAGGACCTCTGG